TATGTCTTGAGGGTTGGATGGTGTATGTGTGTGTATGTGTTTGAACAATATTCTGGAATTTGTGTTGGAAGGAAAACATTCGCTGCTGATGCAACGCAGCTGAGAAAGGCAAAACAATTGATATTGAGTCAGAAGTTCCGAAGATAGCATTGTTTCGAGAGGACAGTGCGAGAGAATTAGATCTGATGCATTGGTAGAATGACGTAGTTCTTGAGAGGACATGTTGGAGTAATTGCAGTACAAGAACGACTCTATTCTACTTCATGGGCTTATGCGGTATTGTGAAGGCGTTGCCAAGTCTGTAACCGCCAGGTGAAGGCAGCTTGGGCGTCTGTGTGGATAATAAGATCACTCTGTGTGTTTGCCTACCTAACCTCGCATCACATGCCAGCTACTTTGTAGCCACAGCTAAAGGAATAGCTGTACAGCAACTGCAGTGACAGTGCTGTTGCCTCAACGCCGGACACATAGACGCGTTGAATGAAGATAGACACATATTGCACCTCACAGGTGATTTGTACTGGAGATTGCGAGACACCTAGACGTGTAGAGTGAGAATAGCTGCATACTGAAACCTCACAGATGCATTGGTTTTTGAGTTTGCCAGACACATAGACGCGCTGCGTGGGGATAGCTACATACTGACACCTCACGAGTTGAGTGCTGTTGCCTCAACACCGGACACATAGACGCGTTGAATGAAGATAGACACATATTGCACCTCACAAGTGATTTGTATTGGAGATTGCGAGACACCTGAACGTGTTGAGTGAGGATAGCTGCATACTGAAACCTCACATATGGATTGGTTTTTGAGTTTGCGAGACACATACAGACGCGCTGCGTGGGGATTGCTACATTCTGAAACCTCACGAGTTGAGTGATGTTGGATAGTGCCGGACACAGACGCTTTGAGTGAGGAAAGACACATACTGAAACCTCACAGTTTGATTTGTATTGGAGATTGCCGGACACATAGACTAGACATGTTGAGTGAAGATAGCTACATACTGAAACTTCACAGAAGGATTGGTTTTTGAGTTTGCCAGACACGTAGACGCTTTGACTGGGGATAGCTACATACTGAAACCTCACGAGTTGAGTGATGTTGGATAGTGCCGGACACAGAGACGCGTTGAGTGAGGATAGACACATACTGAAACCTTACAGGTGATTTGTACTGGAGATTGCCGGACACCTGAACGTGTTGAGTGAGGATAGCTGCATACTGAAACCTCACAGATGCATTGGTTTTTGAGTTTGCCAGACACATAGACGCGCTGCGTGGGGATAGCTACATACTGACACCTCACGAGTTGAGTGATGTTGGATAGTGCAAGACGCATAGACGCTTTGAGTAAGAAAAGACACATACTGAAACCTCACAGATGCATTGGTTTTTGAGTTTGCCAGACACATAGACGCGCTGCGTGGGGATAGCTACATACTGACACCTCACGAGTTGAGTGCTGTTGCCTCAACACCGGACACATAGACGCGTTGAATGAAGATAGACACATATTGCACCTCACAAGTGATTTGTATTGGAGATTGCGAGACACCTGAACGTGTTGAGTGAGGATAGCTGCATACTGAAACCTCACATATGGATTGGTTTTTGAGTTTGCGAGACACATACAGACGCGCTGCGTGGGGATTGCTACATTCTGAAACCTCACGAGTTGAGTGATGTTGGATAGTGCCGGACACAGACGCTTTGAGTGAGGAAAGACACATACTGAAACCTCACAGTTTGATTTGTATTGGAGATTGCCGGACACATAGACTAGACATGTTGAGTGAAGATAGCTACATACTGAAACCTCACGAGTTGAGTGATGTTGGATAGTGCCGGACACAGACGCTTTGAGTGAGGAAAGACACATACTGAAACCTCACAGTTTGATTTGTATTGGAGATTGCCGGACACATAGACTAGACATGTTGAGTGAAGATAGCTACATACTGAAACTTCACAGAAGGATTGGTTTTTGAGTTTGCCAGACACGTAGACGCTTTGACTGGGGATAGCTACATACTGAAACCTCACGAGTTGAGTGATGTTGGATAGTGCCGGACGCATAGACGCTTTGAGTAAGAAAAGACACATACTGAAACCTCACAGTTTGATTTGTATTGGAGATTGCCGGACACATAGACTAGACATGTTGAGTGAAGATAGCTACATACTGAAACCTCACGAGTTGAGTGATGTTGGATAGTGCCGGACGCATAGACGCTTTGAGTAAGAAAAGACACATACTGAAACCTCACAGGTGATTTGTATTTGAGTTTGCCAGACACATAGACGCTCTGCGTGGAGATAGCTACATACTGATACCTCACGAGTTGAGTGATGCTGGAAAGTGCCGGACACAGAGACGCGTTGAGTGAGGATAGCTGTAGTCTATAATGAAAATCAACAGTAGCCATAGTGAGGGGACAATTCGATGACACATAGACGCGTTGAGTAAGGATAGCTGTATACCTGTCTCTTATACACATCTAGATGTGTATAAGAGACAG